CCACCGCCACACGGGTCACCTCAGGCGGCCCAACCCCCCCGGAGGCGGCGGAGGTGCCTTCACCCGAGCGAACGCCTCTTGCAAACCACAAAACCTTCCCGCTCCCTGTCGAGGGTCGTTTCTTCCCCAGCCCCGCAGGGTTTCCAGCCCGGCCGCCATGCCCCCTGCCCGCCGAGGGCGGCCTCGGGGGGACTCAGCAGCCCGGTTCGGGCTTTGAGGGGAAGATTAATGATTTAAAGCGCGTATTTCACCCGTGCCACTTCACAACACCATGGCTGAACGTGTGCTTCAGATCCACCTTGGGTTTCGGCATCTTTTGTTGGTACCATGCAGCTTTATGAGTAATGGGGGACGTCAGTCAGCCCTTGCACAGGTTTCCAGGAATTTTATCCAGGTGGAAGGTGAAATATCGGTTGGGTTGTACAAAAAAAATAATATGGGTTCATACCCTGTGGCAGAGCCTCACCCTCAAGTGTTGCAGAGATGCTTTCCACAGAGCCTGGCTTTTGGAAGCAACCTCAGATGAACCCTTTATTTCGCCTCCTCCCTTCCAGCTCTGCGTTCCTCAGCAATTCCCGAGTCAAATAAGGACCTGTAAGCCCAGGTCTTACCCATCTAATTGCCAGGACAACCCTACCAGCTCCTACAGGGGAACCAACTCCCATCAAATTATCCAAAAACTGTTATCCCAGCCCTCCTGAGCGAGCAGTAAATCCACCAGAAAACTCCAAGCTATGGGGATCGTTGAGAGGCACAGAGAGCAAGCAGGAAATTAAACAAATCCCATGGGAGGAGGCACCAACATGGGAGATGGAGATGGCCCCATCACACTCGCACGAGATGAAAAGCCCACTTTGTGCAAGCAGGACACAACCATGGAAAGGTCTGGGATTGTCCCTCAGGTGAGCAGCACAGGGAGAGCCAGGAGCACCAGGAAAAAAAAAAGGCATTTTGCAGAAAACCCTTAAGGAACTTACTGTCAAAGGTTGCAAAAGCACCAACACAAAGCTGGGGACTGATGGTGAAAGGAGGACATGGTGGGGGGAGTCCATGGAGTTGGGAATGAAGGTTTCAGAGGTATGGAAAGAGGTGCTCACTAGGGGTGAGAGAGCCTGTGAGGTACCAGTGAAGGCTTTGGGGGTGTCATGGAGGTGGAGAAGTCATGGGGATGCTGAGCAGCAGGAAGGGATCACAGTTAGGTTTGGGTCTAAATGGGATTGTGGGAATTTAATGAGATTAGTGAAAATGGATGGGGGATCTCAGGTGGGGGAGGGCAGGGAGGGAGTGAAGGATCATGCGTAGATGGGGTAGCTGGGGTCCACCAGGAATGGGGTCAGAGAGAGCCAGCTGGTATTGCATGAGCTTAACACCTACGTAGGGCTCCATCCTTGTCCCACAACCCTGTGGAACAGCAAAGACCACCCAGCCAGCCAAGGGAAGATGAGCCGGGCCCTAGGATGGGCACAACATGGGCCAAGCAACAACATGAACAGGCATGGTGGTGGCAGCAACAGGGCCCATCAGCAGTCCAGGTGTCACCTGCCCAAAGTGAGACACCAAGGTAAGTCCAAGACCAATCTGGGAAAGTCTAGGAGCAGATGCACCTACAGGACAGCTTAGAAAAAACCAAAGGTGGCTGCTCAGACCTTGGCTTAAATGGAGCTCCTGGAGCAATGGGTCATGAGTGGAGGTCTCAGGTGAGGCTGATTGGGACATGTAAAGCCTGTTGGTGCTTCCAGGCTCCTGACAATCCTCACCTACCCCTTGTTTTCCCTATGGAGAAGTGGCAGGACCCCAGTTCAGCACAATGGCACACACCAGGCTGCTTCCTCATGGTTCTTCTGACTCCAGCGCCGTTGCCCCAGGATGTTGGCTTGTCTCTGACCGCATCACACGCCAAGCAGGGACGAGGAGGAGAATGCCTATATTCCAACCTGCGTTGGACCTCTGGGAAAATGGCCCCTGTCATCCTATGTGTTCCATTTTTCCTCTGCTTGTCTCGGGTCCGGGGCTGCTGCTGGTCTACAGGCAGTTTCTGCTATCTTGAGAGGGGGGTTTGTTGCCTCCCCCTGTGCAAACCTCTGAAGTGCCAGCTCTTGCCACCACTTTTCCGACAACATCAACCGATTCCTAGTATCTCTGGACTTTTCCCCAAGTAGCTTCACTGTATTAGAATTGCAGGGGAAGGAAAAAAGAAAAAATACAACCCCATCCCCCAAAAAATCAAGACAGTTTGTTGTTGTGCTGCTTCAGGCAGGGATGTGCTTCCCGGCGTGTGAGACTGAAATGCAAAAGTGCCCTGGCCTGAAACGAATCCTTATTTCAGTTTGTGGGTGCACCACACTTATGTAAAAGCGTTGTGATCATAGCTTTCAGCCGAAATATTCAAGCCTTTCTGTGGATTCTGTTGTTGTTGCTATTTTAGGGGACCTGATGTCTCCAGGGGATGACTCAGAGAAGTTCATCTGTAGCTGGCCGGCATTAATCTAGAGTAACAGTCTGATTCAGGGATGCGTTTTTATGTAAGAAAACTGTTTAAGCATGTGCTTAACTTTGGAGCTTGGCTGAAAGAAACCATCTCACGCACTGTCCTGCGTCAGGCGTGGAGCAGCAGTAGCCAGAAGTTGCTGATGCTCTTTGGTAGCTCTTTGATGGACACGCTTATGGTCTGGGAGTGTTTCTCCAGGGCGATATGTCCAGCTGGGAAAGGCTGGTCTCTTCGAGGCTGGTTCAGCAAGGAACCAGCAGGGAGTAAATGTGGGGAGAGAAGGTTCAGTCCTCCCCACTGCACCTCGGATTGCCTGCACCCAGATTGCCAGCCCCGCAGCAGGGATGGTCCAGCTCAGAGGCTCTGTAATGTCTGTGCAGAGGGGTAATCTGGGCACTGAAAACATCTCACTGGGTCAGAAGTACCTGTGGCAGAAGTACCTGCAAACCACCTCTTGTCATCTCTTGATTGCAAGAGCTGGCAGACAAGTCACTGGGGGGCTCTGCTGAAAACTGTGCTGCACCAGGGCTCTGCTGGATTACCTGTGTACTACCAGGAATGGATCTGGTAGAAATCCAAATTCATTATCCTGCCATAAATTGTTATAAAATCAGGCTGGTGTCACACTTGGGGTCTTTCCAATTTGTTTGCCTTCAGGGCATGAAAGTGTCCTTTGGGCTGTCGGTACAGTTCTTTGTTCCACAACGCTTTTTATCAAGGTATAAACTCGTTTATTATGCTGCCTAATCTGGTGCAACATTGGCTGCTTCTGCAATTAATCAGGAGGGTGTTTTGCCTACAGATTCCTGGGCTTGTGAGAAGCGTACGGGCCGGTGTAAGGGGAACAGAGGAGGCCGTTCATGGAGATCCTCACAGACCATGAGGTTTATGTTTGCTCTTTGAGACAAATGCTGTCTAAGCATGCTCTCTCCTCAACGAAGCCAGCTCCCAGGTCAAAGGACCTGCTGGTGGTGTGGCTTGGAAGAGGGATTTGGAAAACATAGATCATCTGCTGGAAAAGCCTGCAACTGCCTGTAGACCTGACTTGAATTTTGACATCTCAGAAGCTTTCTGGGCAATTTTACTCTCCATTTGCTTGTTTACCTCTCCTTTTGTCCTTGATAAAATAAATATGGTATTTGGATTGCAACCACAAGAGTTGCAGCCATCCATTTGTTGAAGTAGCCTTAATTGTGGTGGTCATCCGCAGGAGAGTAAAGGTTGGTTGTCTTTGCAGGTGTGGACCCTCCTGTTGCTCATCTCCATGCTTCAGGAATGGTGTTGCTCGGCGCGGTGTCACGCACAAGCCATCTACAGGAGTTGGTGCTGGTAGATCTGCTGCTCCAGCTGGTGGCTGCTCCCCGCAGACAGAGCGCATGCTCCACTGGAGGTGGGGTGACAAGGACACCTTTCCTCCTTCTCGGTGACACCGCTCGTCTCAGAGTGACTCCCCTGAAGTTTGCTGGGGAGGTGGGCACTTTGGAAAGCACAGGATGACTTGTTTTCCTGTCTCTGCATCTCCACCTTGACCACCGCCTATCACGCTAGATGCTGCCATCGAACGGTTTGGCAGATGCACGTGGTAAACGAATTTCTCAGCACAGATGGAGTCGAGCAGAAGGGACCTCTTCAGAAGGGAGAGCACGTGTAAGGGGAGCGGGGCCTGGGAGATTGAGAGCGAGGAGGCAGGAGCGGGTCTCAGCGAGGAGGAATATTTCAACAATTACGAACTTAAAAGCGGAGTTTAAGGCAGAAAGCTTGCGGTGAGATGTGTTAATCAGTCTGAAGGATTTGGGTTCCTGACTCGAGCTCAGCCTGGTGATATTTGCGCTATCGGTATTATTTGCAAAGCCTTTTTTTTCCCTCTGGATTATCTCCAGCTGGCACAGCTTTGGGGTGGCTGAACAAACAGCGGTGATCTGAGGGGCATCTCAGCCCCCGCTCGCCGTGGAGGCTGGTAACGGCTGTGGGGGCAGCCAAAAGCAAACCCGAGGCATTAAGAAATCTCCCAGTGCCTCAGGTGGTGGCAGAGAAGGGTTTTTCCAGGAGATCCTGCCTGTTTCACGGAGCAGCGTGGCAGGAGGGAGGCGGGGTGAGGTGGGAGGTGCACCCTGAACCCCCCCAGGAGCCTGGGGACAGCACTTTGGCAGCATCTTGGTATCTTGAAATGGGGCTCGTCACGGGCAGATGCTGCGTATTGGTGGCTGCCATCTCCAGTTGTGGGGCTGAGCTGGGATCAGTCCCGTGCACAGAGGCCCCTCTCCTGTAAATCCCGTAAGCGGGCGCCTGGTGGCTGCCATCCCTGGCTGTGGGGCTGAGCTGGGATCAGTCCTGTTCGCAGTGACAAACACTTTGTGCACAGAGGCCCCTCTCCCGTAAATCCCGTAAGCGGGTGTTTAACTTCACCCAGCGAGGTGGTTGCGGTGCAATGTTTTATTCTTGTCAGCTTCAGCGTTAACGGTTACTAGAATCACTTGGGTAATTAAGCTCTTGCATGAGTAAAATGAAAAAGCGCCAGGTGCCTATGGAGATCTAGATCATTTTTCAGAGTGGGTAGGAGAGCGGTTCTCGACTTTCCTCGGTAGCTGCAGTCCTAAAAATCCCCAGAGGCAGCGCAGATCCCCGCGGGATGAGCTGAAGGCTTTTCTTGGGTACCATCTACAAGGAGCTGGTGGGCACCCGGGACTCCATACGTGACTGTTGAGTTGGGAACTTCGTAGCAGAAGGAGGACCTTCTGCAAAGGGCACGGCTAAAATTTCATACCAAAGAGTATTTTTGAGACTTATTAGTGTTTTAGCTGCAGAGTATCCAGCAGCAAAATGCTCATCCCTGCCTTGTAGCGGAAAAAGATAAGGCTGGGACTGGAGGAGGAGGACCCCATCCCCATGTCTGTGGGATGGCACGGGGAAGACCCCATCGCTGTTTATAAATGTTTATTACAAGGATTATATGAGAAGGGGAAACAGTTTGAGGTTTAAATGTGCTTATAAATGGTTGTGCTGTGAAGGGTGGCCCTTAGAATCATAGAATCATAGAATTGCCCAGGCTGGAAGGGACCTCCAAAGGCCATCTAGTCCGACCCCCCCGCAGTCAGCAGGGACACCCCCAACTAGACCAGGTTGCCCAGGGCCTCGTCGAGCCTCTCCTTGAATATCTCCAGGGATGGGGCCTCAACCACCTCCCTGGGCAACCTGTTCCAGTGCTCCACCACCCTCACAGTGAAGAACCCTCTCCTCATCTCCAGTCTAAAGCTGTTCCCCTCCAGCTTGAAGCCATTGCCCCTCGTCCTGTCACTGCAGGCCTTTCTAAACAGGTTCTCCCCAGCCTTCCTGTAGGCTCCCTTCAGGTACTGGAAGGCTGCTATTAGGTCTCCCCGGAGCCTTCTCTTCCTCTTCTCCAGGCTGAAACCCTTTGGGTTTTTCGGGGCTGCGGGAGGCGGTGGCGGGAGCTGGGTGCCTGGAGCTCCCCGGGCAGGGCCCTGCAGCCGCGGCAGGGGCCAGGAGGGGGCGGCGGGGAGGCGCTCGGGTACCGGCGGCGGGGATGCCGGGGGGCACCGGGGGATGGCGGGGTACCCAACTCACTGCTAACCCCGCTCCCGAAGGGAAGGTCACCACCGGCGGGGGCCTGGACCCGCGTCTCAGCCCAAGCAGGGGCTCTGGGAAGCCACAAAGCTCCCATAAAGTGAAACCCTGCTCCTTGGGGTGCGGTGGGCAGACCTGCTGTCCCCCCATGCCTGCTCCTGTGTTGGCGAGGAGCGCGGCGTGTCACCAACTGGGGAGGACAGGGCCAGCACAGAGCCCCGGGGTGGGACACGCAGTCCCCTACCCCTAGGGACAAAGCGTAGGGCGAGGAGCTGGGGCAACCGACAGAGCCCCTGGGGCTCGAGATGGGACCAGCCTGGCAAAGGAGCGTCCAGCTGGTAAGTCCGGAGCTGAACAAAGCCAGGGCTATTTATATTTATGTAGGGCAGGATGATTAATGCCTGGGCCTTTGCCATTCCAAATAAGTCAGGTAATTAGGGAACTGGCTTTATTTACGATGTAGCTTGGCGTGAGGCATCCTGCGTGCCCAGCCCAATCTCCCCACGCCGCTCCTGACCCCGGCAGAGCAGGGCTTGGGGACCAGGGGCTGTCCCCAGCTGTGGGACGGGGATGGCTTTGCATGAGGGCTGTTTGGGGAGGACAGTGGGCAACAGCGACTGTAGTGAGCTCGCTGGAAGCGGCTGTACTGCTATGAAACACCCGGAACTGATTTTCAGAGCTTCCTGTGTGTCTGAAGATGCAGACTGGTACCCTGTGAGGTTTCCAGAGGCATCTACCCAGAACGTAGGATCCTTTAATCTGCTTGGATCCCCAAGGGCACCTGCCTGCTTCACCCTGAGCTTAAATGCCCATTGCTGCGGCCGTCGTTACGCTCTCCATGCTCCAGCAGAAAACACCCTTTTGGAGGCGGCTTCTAATTTTCTGCCTGTTTCACAAGGTATTTGTATTGAAGCAGGAGCAGGAAGCAGGATCCTGCGGTGCCTAATACAAAGAGCTGATGAAACTCGTCACACCTACGCCGCATACCACCAGGCTGAGTCTCCTCTGGGTGCAGGGGCACCTTCATCCGGGTGGAGCGGGTGAAAAATGTCACCACATCACAATGGCCTCGCTTCACCCCGGAAAGAAACGATTCCCCGGGGCATGAGGAAGTGGAGGATTAGTGGTGGTGGAGGTGGCCCTGGAGCCCTCCCGGGGCTGTGCCGGCTTCTCGACTCTGCGGTGAATAGCAGCGGAGGGTTTGGTATCAGCCGGCTCTACTCTGGGCCAGGCTGCAGCCTTGTTTCCAAGCCAACCGGAGTCCCTTGCGCTCCCCAAATGGCTGCGAACAATAAAGCCCTGCTCGCCTCCTCCATACCAGGCCGAGTACGGCTGATGCTGGAAGCAGAGCTGCTCTGGCCAGGCTGCTGCCATGGCAGGGAAAGCGGGAGGCAAAGTGTGATCAACCCCTGCAGCACCCCCATGTCCGCCCTGCTCTTCACCAGCAGCTCGGTGTTCAAATGAGGGGGCCCAAAGGGACAAGGCCACCTGGGAACGGCGCTGGCCCCACGGCTCACTGATGGCGGGCTCAGCCCCAGCCATCTGTGGGAGGGAAGGTCTGCCCATGATCCGGTGATGTGTATTTTTCCCCCCTGCAAAATGCCAAATTAACAGAAGAAGAACGGGAACTGAGCCTGGCACCACCGTGAAAAACTGGGTATTATTATCTCCCCTGATGAGAAGGCACAGCTGGAGTTCAGAGATGCCACCCGGTACGGCTGGGGTCCCCTCCAGGGATGACAGGAACATGTTTATCCCATGGTTTCACATGAACTTCTGCCTGGAGGGTCTCGATGCATTTATAGTCTGGTTTGGAGGCAGAACAACCTTTATTTTCCCTCACGTTTCCCTCACATTTTGTCGCTCCCACAGGCTCTGCACCACTCTTTACACAGAGGCAGCGCCGAGGGCCTTCCCTCCGTGCTGGGGTGATAGAACCCCTCAGGAAGGCTCTGCGCCCCCACCTCCACCACACGCCCCGGCCACCCCACGGCGCTCAGAGCTGGTGTGGTTCGGTGGCGGAGAGAAGCCGGTAAACTCCCTCCTTCCCCCCTCCTCCTCCTCCTCCTCCTCCTGTTGCCACACTCAAGATGGCGCCGCGCCGCACTCAAGATGGCGCCGACGGGCCGCAGGGGGAGCCGCGCACTCAAGATGGCTCCCGGCGCGGCGAAGGGGAGATGGCGGCGGCGGCCGCGCAGGCGCGGCGCCCCTCGCGTCACGCGGCGCGGCGTGACGTGCCGTGCGTGCGCGGCGCGCGGTGACGGAGCGGGTC